CTTTGTTTGACAAGCAAACTATTGAAATAAAGATGTTATAAATGGATTTTAGAAATTCTGCTCAAAGTTCATGACAGATGCAAATAGCAGCACTTACATCATGTTGATTCAAATCCACATTATGTACATTTCTTAATCTCTTCGCATGAGTTTCCATCCACAAGCAAAGTGTGAAAATACAAGTGACTTCTTCCAACTGAGGAAAGTGTCTTCTTCACATTCAGGTAGGAGAAGATAACGAGGCTTGGATCTCTTGCCATCATGACATCATGACATCAACCTCACTCAGGTGTAAATAAGAAGTTGTTCCTCTCATGGATTAGCTGTAAATTCCACTTTGAACGACTCAGGTGTCCAGTGCTGTCAGCCATTTCCATCTGTGTGTTCAAAAAGCCCTGCTGCTCTCCTCCATCTGGATTAAAGGGTTAAACTCTGCAGGAAAAAAAATCACTCCACAGACTGGAGGTGTTGCTCCCTTGAAGTTAAAATAGAGCAATATCCTTGACCTGATAGGAATAAGTCTGCTGACATCCAGTGGGTGTCCTCCAAGTCTGCTGCTCACATTGCAGTTTTTAGGTTTTCTTTATCAAACTGCAACACTTTTCTTCTGGGTCTTTATATTTTGAAAAAACAAAAATGGCACGAGGACAATCACTAAAATCCAAAATGCATTGATGGTGGATTAATCCATAAATCCTCTGACGAAGAAGAAAATCTTTCCTTGGAATGACAAGTGTGCTGCAATCTCACACCTGTCACCGGCCATGAAAACCTTAAAGTTAAAGTTTGGACTTCTTGTTCCAAAAAGAAAAGAGTGGGAGATGTGAGCGGGATGAGAATGTTGGACAAACAGAGATGACGAGGTTTAAGGAAGCAACAGAGAGAGAGAGACAGATGAAGGACGTAGAGTTGAGGAGTCAAGCACCCTGCGTCTCCCATCCAGGACGATGAATGGAGAGCCTGCCTCTCTGCCTCCTTTTATATTCTCTTCCCCTGCTGACTCGCTTTGGCTTTTACTCTGGCTTCAATGTGAGTGTGTGTGCGCGCACACAGAGACCGACCTCTTTCAGAGCTGCAGGAATATATTATAGCCCAAACAAAAGAAGCCGCCTTATTGTTTATGAATTACCAGCCTTCCAAAGGCAACAAAGGCCCCTATTTTCATAGAAAACTCAATTTTCATTTCAGCTCCATTTGATTACCCGAGCGGAGAAAATAAAAAGACCTCTCCGGTCGCCCCGTCCCAAAGGGACTCATTCCTCCTTCTCTCGCTCAATCAACACAACTGAAAAGGTTTCTTTATTGCTTCCCTTTCAGGACTGACGTCAAATGGGCTTTTAGGAGTAAACCAATGACAAAAAATTATTGCTTGGCTATTTTGTACAACAACAGGGCCGGGGAGAAGAGAGGAGTCCTGTGTTGTCTTTGTCATCTTTCTTTTCCCTTTTCTTTCACTCCACTCTGCTATTGAAGAGGTAAATTGCAGAGACTGGAAATTAATGGTGAGGGTTTGAAGGGAAGAGAGAGAGAAAGAAAAGAGAGACACAAAGCAACAATACAAGTAAAATCTGAATTATCAGCTGCTACTAAACAGTGAAAGAAAGGTAGTGGAAATGGAGTGTGTGTGTGTCACCTGTTGGTTCTATGGCCAAAAACAATGCAACACCAGTGAATCAAGTTTTTGTTTCATTTACAAAGGGCCTGTCGATAGATCGTGTGCCTGTGTGTGTGTGTGTGTGTGTGTGTNTGTGTGTGTGTGTGTGTGTGTGTGTGTGTGTGTTACAGACTTAACGATTGGTTCTCTATACAGCTCAGATCTCAGGTCCTGAGTTTCACAAGCATTTTACATTCAACTCTAAAATGAATAGAGTCGTGCAGTTACATGTCAGGAACATCAGTTTATGTTATTACTGCAGAATGGGGTAAAGTGTGCTCTTGATTCAGAAATTGAAGCGAGAACAGATGCACCTCCAGTCATCAACTGACTCTGCACAATTAAAACTGACAATGGATAATGAAGAACAGTAATAAAAGTGAAAAATGTTTTTTTTTTACTTTTCTCCATTATCCAGCCAGTTAAGGAGAGAGAGAGCTACTGACCTCAAGAAATATTGAATGTTGTCATTTTTGAGAAGCTTCAAGAAGCAGAGAAGAAAAGGAGTTGACTGACTCTGAGGAAAATTATCACACATCATTTTAATGTGAGGCTGTGTGCACCAAGCCGCCCTGCACACACCATCCACAGTTTCAATTTAACATCACAATTTCTAACTGATGCCATGACAAAAAGAACAGTCACACGAGGCCACCTTTTCCCGTGATCGCAAGCCCAGCAAAACCCGACAGATGCTATCTCCTCTGGAAATCTATACAGTCTGTGCACCAGCTCTTACAATCTAATGCAATCCAATCACAAAGTGGAGAAATCCAGATAACAAATTAATAACAGGCCATGCAAATTGAATTACCCCCGAATCCTTTTCATTATCATCATCATCCTGTGATTGTCACTCATTTTTCTAGTCTTATCGCCCAATCAAAAGGCTTTTCATACAACATGCTACTATATTCTGCATTTCTATCACACACTGTCTGCACAGGGGCAATTTGGGGTTCGAACCACCTGTTAGTGGACGACTGAGCCACAGCCACTCGCTTGAAACACTGATGCTGACATTTTTGCTGATGCTGAACCCGATGAGAAGACACATAATCAAGATGAGTTAGTGTTATACACGGTAATTAAGTTTGATCGTGTTTTGTTTTTGAGTCATCTGCATTTCTATTTTGAACATCTTTAACTGCATGTCCTGTAGATGGATGAGGAACCTACAGCCTGACATTAGCAGCCTGCACAATAATGTGGAGAAACTATTTTTTCCTCAACAAGATGAACAGCGTCAGCACACACTGAGTCTAGAAGATGCTCTTTCATCTTCTGCTTTGCCTTCTTTTTTTTGTCCTCCTGAATGAATATTTGGCACTAGACAAAAGGTGAACCAATCAATTATGCCTCTCACAGGCCCCAGTGCTGTTGTGAAAAGCATTGACATTTGAGCTTTCCAGACGACATCTGCAAAATTATATGCCTTCCATTGTGTGAGGCAGCCAGCCCTGTATCAAAGGCTGTAAAAGGCCTTGTCAATTTAGTAAGGACAACTTCACAAAGACTCCTTTCTCCTCCGTTGTTATGAGAATAATGCTTTTCACTGGTGAACTGCCAAAACCTGTTGGCAATTTGGCCATGTGATGTTATTGACGGCATTGATAACAGTCATCCACCTTGGGAACCATCAAACCGTTGTTAACGCACTGTCAAAACATCACAAACGTATACGTGGTGATCAAATTCAACAAAAAGTGTATAGAGGCTATGCAGAGAACAGTCAGAGTCTCTCCTCTAGTGTTGTGCAGCTGCCTCAAACCACTGATCATTTGCAGGGTTAGGGTTAGTGCCTAACCCTTATCTGTGCAGTGATAAAGCAAGTGATACACTCGTGTTCCTTCTTCTGCCACTGCAGCTGCTCATTATTACAGATGGAGATAGACACATCCTTTTCCAGTTTTGGGGGGAAAAAACCAAATTACTTCGATCACCAAGTGAACGCCACAACATACCTGAAACATAGAAAGATATAAAGAGTCGATTTGGTAATTGAAGAGCTGGATGGTGATGAAGACATCACAAAAGATTGTTTGAAAGCATGGTGTGTACACCCCTCTATGTCTTTCATAATCCAAGAGCTGACAATGGATCCACTTATAAAGGAAATCTGTTACTGGAATGGATTTTATTATTCAAACAGTAAGGGGTCTGCTTTAGGAGGGGACTATTGGATTCCTTGGATAATTTTTTATAAGTGAATCAAAAGAACATGGCTCACATTGTGAAAGTGAAGAAGAGGACGTCATTGACAGTACCTCAAGCACAGATCAAAAGATGGATAAAAGGGAACATGTGTTGGCCTCACATTTGAAGAAGAAGTCCCCTGCTTCTTCATGAAGACAGGTGTAACAGTCATTTTGTCTGTTGCCAGCAGACCTTGTCCCCTTTCAGTTTCCTTAATCAGTCAAATAAAAGCTCATTAACTTTAATAGATAAAGGTTCAGTGTGTAGGATTTAAGTGAAATGGATCTATTGGCAGAAATTAAATATAAAATAATTGTAGTGATGTTGTCCCTAGTGTGTAATCATCTAAATCGTTGTTTTCTTTACCCTAGAATGGGCCAAGAAGAGGAGCAACATCCAACTTCACTGTTAGACGTCACTAAATTCTACGCACTGAAACTTTAACACTGACAAAAGTTATTTCCCCCTGACTTGACTATAACTTTCATCATTTACCACAAACAGCCAATCAATGCAAAGGTGATTACATTCTCAAACACAGCAGTTTCTTTTGACTCACATTTGAAGTAGAGGTCCTCTCTGCTTCCTCTCATGAAGACAAAGTGTGACCGTCGCTGAGTTTGACAGAAGTCTCCGTCTCCTCTTCAGCTGTTAAACCTTATATACAGTTGTGATCCAAAGTTTTGAGAATGACACAATCTGACAAAAATATCTACAACACTGGAGCAGCAAACTTTGTGAAAACCAATACTTGTGTCATTCCCAAAACTTCTGGCCTGTATGAAGTGCCCTCCTGATTTTAGTTTGTACTGTAGTAGGTTGATATCTGTAATATAAGTTTATAAGTTTATCCTTATGTCGACTTTGTCGTTTTTCTTCATTTATTACTTAAGAGGTTTAATTTCTGCATTAATATGGGGAACTGTGCATTCTTGTAAAGATGTTCAAATATCCAATGTTCAGAACTGACCTTGAACTTCTAATGTCCGTTTTCTGTTTTTTATTGGATAGACAGGTGTCAATCAATCAATTCTGTGAAGGGCGGGACTTAGTTCAGAAGAAGCACGAGGACAGAAGCAGGGACGATGGCTGCTCTAAGCTCCGCTCATTCTGTGTAAATCCAGTATTTTGGAAGAATTCAGACCCAGCGGGATTGCGACTGTGTGTAACCTCAACCCGCCGGAGTGTGAGCCGTGTTGGGAGACGTCTGACTGAGCAATGTTGCTAAATTAGCTCTTACTGTTAGCACGTGCAACCGAGGAGCAGACCTGCGTCACGTGGGAACCCTGGCTTTATGTACAAGTGTCTGAGTGAGTAAAGATGAACGCTAAAGTTTTCTAACAGTGTATTCTTTTTAACGTTGCTGTGCCTCGTGCTGCTGCAGTAGAGGCGCTCAGGCCTCCAGGAACATGCATGGTGTTATTTTTTTTTATTTGTTTGGGGCTTTGAAACAAATGCTGTGATATGTTTGCAATCCATCTGTGTGTTTCAGGGGGATTCATGTTTAACAGTTATGTAAGTGTTTCACTGTAGGGGAATCTGATTTAGGTGGAACACATATAGTTGAGTAAGTATGAAGCATGGGAGTTTAAGCGCACCCATACAGTTTAGCTATATTATAAGCTAACTGGGCCTTTGCACCTTGATTTTGAATCATATTTTTGTACACAACTCCCAGTTTATATCTGCAGCCATCACCGATTCCTCCCCCATGCAAAACACGTGTTTAAAGTATAGAGTGTGTCATTACAAGGGTTAGAACCCCAAAAAAGTTACACACACACACATGTGACTGGACTATAATACAGCATGGCCAAGTATGTGACAGAGCTCCTGAATGAAAAACACCAACATAATTAAATAACAATGAGACAATCACCTAATCAATGCAAAACACACAGTTAGTGTTAAAACTCACATGAGAAGTAAAAGTCCTCTCTGCTTCCTCTCATGAAGACAAAGTGTGATTTGTTTGTCTCCTCTCTGTGTCCAGTCAAATGAGAGCTTCCATCATCAACACTGACAAACTGAGCTAACCAGGCTAAGTTCCCACTGACTGGCCTATAATAAACACATATATTTATAAGCAAGTATTTTTACTCAAGTAGAAAAGATAATCTGGAACTTTTACTTGAGTACATTTTGTCTATTTCTTTGTACTTTTACCTGCTTAAATTATTTCTCTAGATATATCCTCCATCACCGGACATGACCAGTAGTAATGGTAGCTGCTAGTTACTCTGCAGATTCATAAAACAGAATATAATCAACAGGTAAGTGGTGATTTATCTACTATTACCTATTATTATAGCCTGAGACTCATCAATGAACGTTGCTCTATTAGAGACGTGACTGGATTTAACATTTTATTCAGACAAATGGGTGAAATAAATAGAGGAGGTTATGATTCTCGTCACAGTAACAACTGTTTGAACGCACAATACATTTACATCAGTTACTTCAGTTAAATACATAATTTAAAGAGAAAAATTGGCATATTACATTACATGGCTTACGTTGTAGTTCTCATTTCAGTTCATTTTGCAGGTGAAGCCTTAAAGCTAAAAGCCTCATCAGTTTACTGATTCTCAGAAGAAAACAAAAAGGCCCAAGTAGAAAATAACAAGTCTTACAAATCAAAACGAGTCGTTAGTGTAAAAACACAATCACAAATATAAAAATAAGAAATCATGCTACAGTAAGTTTCTCATCAACATTGTAAAAATCATTAAAAAAAACAAATCAAAGAAACAATATATTTCCAGTGTTGTATTGCTTGGATTTTGGTCTTGAAACAGAAAAATCATTGAGCGGACAGACTAAAGCTCCTGAAGACTGTGATGGTGTCTGAACAGCGTTTCTCTTCAATGCCTCTGAATCAGTTCGGTGCAGTTAAAACGATTCCTGAAGTCTTAAAACCATCTCCTCGCCTTAGAATCAGCTACTAAACATATAATATTTGTTGATATTGCTACCTGATGATTTTTTTTTTATCGTATATTTCATGTTTTTGCTGATTTACAAAGCTCGTACTTTCTCGGTCGCAGACAGCTTGAGCATGGAGTAATGACAGTGGATCCACAGATTTACTTCATCTTAAAGGCACAGGGAACTCAAAATTCTCAGTATTTCTAATAAAACAAGGAACCATTGCATTGGTATTGTTGGGAACAGCTCTCTGAAATGTCATCACTTGCTGGTAATTTCCCCCATGTTGTTTCGTAATGTAATTTCATTATTTACATTTCCAGGTTCAGACTGTATACAAAGGTGGACGACATGACTGCACCCTAAAAGTGACGCCAAGGCACCTTTGCCCTCGTGGCCTCCTTCAGTAAAAGTCGTCCTCCTCCTCCATGTAAGTAAATGGGACATGGACCAAACTAAAAGAATTATTTGTTAATATGTTTTTCTCAAAAAGGATTTTCTGTGATTTGAGATAGTTCTTATCACACTTAAGAGACACTTTGTTTTAAAACATAAACAAATCATTTTCCATAACAGCTTGTTAGTGTTTTGACACATGATATAAAGCTCCAAAATAATGTGTTGAGCATTGCAAGGACTGTTAGAGGCAATGCTACGGTTATTTTTCACAATAAAAGCTTACATATTTCAAGTGATATTTGGTAGGAATATAAAATATACTGCTGGTAGACAAGATTCTGCCTATGTTTTCTAAATTAACTGCAAATGGTTGCAATGATGTTTCTGTTACTCTCATGTATTTTACTGCAGCTTTGGGCGGATGTATAACATTTAACAGTGTGTTTACCTTGTAAGCTTTCTCAAATTCACACACAGGTAAACAGGTGAATCTGAAAGTTTTGGTTACAAGTTCAGCACAGACACAACTATTCATTTGCCTTCTTGCTGTGCTGAGCCTTGTGAAACTGGTTCTTGCAGCTCATTTGGCTCAAACACGTTTCTTTTACCTTTAGATATTGCTTTCTCCATGAAATCTGAAATGGATGCTGAGTGGAACCTGAAACTCCCTGATGGTTGATTCCTGAGAAAATCTCCCTCCAGCTTCCATTTGACAGTAGCAAGTTTTTTTGATTGGATAAACTCACTATATATCATCTAAAATTCAATAAATTCAATTAACACTCAGAACTTTCATGTCATCCTGAAAAATATGAGGCCACTTTTAAGTGCTGGTAATTTAAGCTTAAAATGTGTTTTCACAAATAATAATTTTAAATGTTTCTTTAACATTTGGATTTCAGATTAAATCGCTGCTAATCAAAAATGTATGTTTCTAGTTTTTATGAAATATATAAACTCATGTATCGTTCTAATTAATGCACCAGGTCAGTAAATAAAATACTTTCCTGGCGATAAATTTTATACTTGCAAGAAAGTAAAAGAGATTTTTTCGTCGGCACGCCAAAGGCTGAAAGAAAGTGGAAAAGGACCATGACAGGAAGTGATGTCATCATGCCTACCAGCTATTTTGGCTTCACAGCTTTAAAGTCAGATGTGAAGGCTTCGCTGATGGCCAGCAGGCTTCGTCTCTTGGTCCAGAGTGTAGTGTGCAGGGAATTGTAAGGGTTAAAGTGGAAATGGTGAAGACATGTTGAATAACACGATGGAGTGTTGGCAGTTTCTGTTCGCACAGGTTGAACTACATTTTACTCAAGCCATTCAGTCTTTTAGAGTCTCAATCCTGTCCACGATGTTTGGATCCACAATGATCTCAGAGGTTTGTCTCGTCCCAGGTTGGGTCGTCCAGGTTCTTCAGAACCCTCCTGATGATCCTCTCCAGCTCCTTCCTCGCTCGCTGCTCCTCCTCTAGCGTCCTCTTCATCCTCTTATTGTCCTGGAGAAAAACAGGAGAGGAGGGGAAGTGGATTGTTGAGAGAGAGAGAGGGAAAACAAGTAGCATCCATTGGGAAAAAGAAGAACTTCTATATTTGTGAACTAAAACTGCAGAATCACCTGTTTGAGTTCCTGAACTTCATCCTTGAGGCTGTAGACAGTGTCCACCAAACTCCTGCAGGAACATAGCAGCTCTGTTTTACTGTGATGTACTGACACTATCCTCGTTTTTTATATCTGTGTAATCATATTTAGAACTTGTTTGCATTTGATATGTTTCTTTTCATAATTCATATGTTCCACTTTATTTCATGGCAACCTCTTAATTTTTTTCCTCTATCCACTATGTTTGTATTCATATATTGTGTTGTTGTGTTTTTGTTTTATTTTCAGCACCTCTCCTCCACCACAGTCTGTCCGTTGCTCCTGGTTTCCTCCACTATTATCTTCTCCTCCTCTGGAAACAACATGTGAACGTCCTTCCTGCTGGAGCCTAATTGAAACCATTGCAACAGTGTGAGTTATCAACCCTGCGTCACACACAATACGACAGAATAACAAAAATATGTGAACATCTACACAAAGATACTCCCTCATTCCAAGTGGTTGATATAGAATTGGAGGAGAATGAGATTACAGAGAGGCTTGGATACTGATGCCTTACAAAGTACAAACACAACCACCTTTAAAGATACTTGACAGTAAAATGAGGTATATGCTTGCTGAAGCTATAGTGATGGGAATGCACAACACACACACACACAGCAGTTGAGATGTTTGGGCTGATTTACACGTAAACACATCTATCTCTAGTTGGACACTAGCTGCTTCACCAATGTGTCTTACGAGAAAACGAGGCAGTCCTAAAACTTTGGGCTGTCCAGATACTGTCATAATCCGAGTCCTCTGATTGGTCGGAACATGGCAGGCTGCCATGGAAACCAGCAAGGGTGAGGTTGGTGTCAGCGAGTACATGGTTGTGCATGAGGTCAGTCCCTTGCCAAGCTGTGCCATAAAGTCACCAGCAGCAGACGGGAGTTTGGAACAAACCAAATTTAAATGTTGGGGGATGAGATGAGCAGAGGAGTATAAACCATATTGGATAAAGGGTGGGGGGGGTTTGAAACAAACCATATTGAAACCAGGCAGAATTTATTTAAGAACAAAAATATGAGATTAAACCAGAAATTAAAGGAAAGTAGTTTGTGTGGGATAAAAATATTTCAAATTGAATAAAATTCAGGGGGAAAAAAAGGGAGAAACAAGACAACAAGGACAAAGGAGTTAATTAAAAAAGAATGAAGGATGAAGGGAAGACGTGAAAAAAGAGGAGAGAGAAACACATTGTTAGGGCTGAAAGCAGAGAACAAACAGTGTCAGCATTAACACACAGTAGCTAGCAGTGAGTGAGAATGTGCAAAATAATGTGTTCACGGTGTGTGTGTGTGTG